AAGATTGAAATAGTATGTTAGCACTCTTGTTAATTTGTCAAGGACATGAAACTTGAATAAAGAAAACCCTCAATTCACTCCTGTATCATGGAAAGGAACTAAAAAGTCACTCAAAAATGACATAATATTGAATTAGAATGGCTATTGAAAAATACAAAAGATTAGAAAGTCTTAGAAGAAGTCTAAAGACTAAAATGGCCATGTCAAGGATAAAAAAGGCTTCACTCTTGCTTCCATATATACTTCTAACTGAGAGCTATGTGACAATATTCTATAGGACCTAAAATATTTGTTGACTTTATTAGCCACATGTTTTAACTTGTAAGGCAAGTTATTTATGTATGCGCCACATAGTTAGCTTGTTCCACAAGCTACCAACACTTGGTTAATTTGTTGGCCAACTTTCTATCTGACAAATATATTTAAAGTCAAACCATGTCTATAAAGCTTCTAAGAAGCTTTTCTAAAAGAATTTATGAAATTAAACTATATTTACCTACTTCTACCTAATCATATAAATAACTATTGGGATAAATGTATATGTTAGTAACAAGTAGTTACAATATTTGTCAAACAGAAATAATGTCACTTATTTTTTATTTTTTTGCTGGAGAATGAATTTAACTTAAAAATCCCTTTTAAATTGTTCTTTCAAGCATTTTGATAAAATCCATAAAGTTCTTGAAAGACCTTTGTAAGTTTTTGAAAAGCTTTAAATAATTTTTTTTTTGATATTTTTAAAATAATTTTGTCAATTCAAAATGTGTTGATTTAAATTTTTTAAATTTTTATAAAATTAAATAACTTTATTTTCACCAAATAATATTTTTAAAAATATATATATTTTTATATATTTATATTTATTACTCCAATTTTTTTTTTATTAGAAAAAATGAAGAAATGAAAGAAAACAAAAACTAAACAAAATTCTCTTTTTTCATTAGTTTTACAAATCAATAGATTAATATATCTATAATATATTAAAGATTTTTTTTCATAAAATAATAATATATTCTTCCAAATTTACTAAAATATATGATCTTTCACAATGTAAAAAAATATATTCAATTTTTTTGGTATGGTGTCTTTTGAAAATATATATTTTTTCAAATAAAAGCAAGATTATTTATTCTAAAAATAATAGATCCAAAAATCACCACAATAAATTTATTATTTTTTAATTTATTAAACAAGTTATTTTAGTTATTTTAATAAATAAAAAATTTCCTCTATCAATACCACTAAACAAATGAAATTATTTATATATTTTATTTTATTGATTATTATTTTATTTTTGGATTAATATTTCTTTCAAAACTATTGATTTTTGACTTGAAAAATTAAAATGCAACATGTTTTTATTCCTAATATCGTAGATTTTTGCTAGTGTATATATACATGTATATGTATCTATATATATATATATATATATATATATATATATGCTCAACATGCATCAATCCATATTGCAAAGTATTAATAAAAAATCACTAAAGATATTACAATTAGAAACTCTCTATTATATGATGCACCATCATAGTGGTTACTTGAAGTTAATTATATTGTAATGTGTCAATGAGAAAACATTAGAATTATTAGGATTGGAGATTTTCTAAAGTATAATATAAAATTTTGACACTTGATTTGAGAGAATCATTTTATGGTATGAGATTTGTAATGCATCATGTGCTACAATATGTCATTCCTTTCGATGCTTTACAATAGGTTGTAAGACAATATATTGAGTGAGATTTGTAGGGGTAAGAGCATATAGTCAAGGATATTAACTTGTTGGATTTGATAAATGAATGAAGTAGAGAGAAATATTTTTATTAAGTATATTTATGATACAATTATATTGTGTTCGTATCTATAGTTGATTTTAGAATAGTAAATTTTTTAAGAAGTCATGTGTTCATAAAATGCATAATCTTCTAGTACAATAAAATACTACACAAATATTTAGAGGTGCATACATAACTTAAGTTGATAAAATTAAGTATAAATAATTAGAAACATATTAAGTATATATTATCTTCTTTAAGAAACTTCAATGAAATCTCTTAGATACAACTTAAATATTTAGAACTTTATTGATATATTATGTAGTTATTAAAACTTTTCTTATAAAATTTTTAGAGTATTATGTTAGAAACAAGTTATAACTTAACACTTACGCCACAAACTTTGCAAGTTCTAAGAAATTTCTACAAAAGCTTCTCAATAGCTAGTTTACATAGAAATAAAATTGAAGCTATCTTCAATTTTGTCTACTCTTTTTTTGTATTCTAATATTTGTCAAAGACTATTTAAATTCTTAAAAATTAACAGTTGTTATTCTAGACGCTTTCTAACTTATATCTATCTTTTATTTGTTTAATTTCTCTCATTTACTAATAAAAGAATACATTGGTTTCTTAGAATTTAATCCTAATTGATGTATATAATATAATTTTTTTTTTAAAGATTAATTAATAACTTTGTTAATATACCATAGATATGCATATTGTAACCATTTTTAAATCTTCTAATATATGATTCTATTATGTAGAACAAGTTTATTCTTTGGAAGTTGCCAACTTATTAAAAATTAATTATGAAGCTTGAGGCTTTTAAATTTATATAATTTTATGAGGTTTAAGTTTGATATGAATTACACACATAATGTTTGAGTCCACAAACAAATCAATTTGATTACTATTGTGCCATAAGTCTCTTATTTATTGTACTATCTATTTTAAGAGTAACCAACAACTAATGCAACTAATATATGATACATTATTTTTCAATGACTTGTGCACAAAATATTTCTTATTGCTACTCTTGGTACAAATTCAAAATTTTGGATAGTTCACAAATGGTTGTCTTTTCTAAAATTTAATCAATTGTTAGGTAGATAAATGCCTCTTTACATGTGCAAATACATGGATGCAATTAAACAAACAAACTCTTCTATCGTCAATGCATAAGAAGTTTCAAAAATAATTTGTTATATATACATAACATTGTAATAGATAGATAGATAGATAGATAGATAGATAGATAGAAAGAGAGAGATTTATGTTACATCAAAGAGATAATACCCTATACAATAATTTTTTGTTTCTTACATAACATTTTATAATTTCTTTCTAAATACATAGTGATGTTTAAAAACTCCTAATATAAACATATAATTTAACTATCATTAATTATATTATTTAGATCTAATTTTTTATATATAACATTTTTACAAGTTGAAAGTTGATTATTATAGTATAAAAAATAAACAATATATATATATATATATATATATATATATATATATATATATATATATATATATATATATATTTGTGTAATTTAAGACTTGTCAAATTTTAGAACATATCTACTTCGAAGTAATAAATGTGTTTTTAATTTTCATCATTAAGAATACTAGAATTTTAAATCAAATCTCTATTTATAAAAATAAATATAAAATATAAAATAAATTATGATTTCAATATTTTTAAAGTATTAAGTTTTAAAAATGTAAGAAAATGATTGATATTATAATTAAGTTTTATCTCATTTTTTACTAATTACCAATCTTATACATGCATTTTTATTTTATTAAAAAATTGATTTATATCAAAATCACTTTTGGTATACTTATTTTTCTATATATATATATATATAAATTAAATTTATTAAGGCAAACACATTAATGATTTAAACCAAATTTTGTGAACATTTGAAATTTTATTTTTGGTTGAAATTTTTAGATATACAATATAACTATTACCAGTGTTGATATGCTATTAAGTTTTTTATAAAAAAAAAGATATACTAATTTAATAAAAAGACATGGTTTATTTTATAAAAACCAAATAGTTATATTTTAGCAAATTTTATATTTTCATATATATATATATATATATATATATATATATATACATACATACACACATATAGACAAACCAAGTTTTAATGAAGATTATTTTTCACACTCTAGAATTCATCTAGACCTTATTTTCACCAAATATTATATGAAATAAATCTAAGTATCCTGCTGATTTATCTATACTTATCTAAACAATATGTTTGTGCTAGAATATTCATATTTTGTTCCATGTTAATTTGTTCAAATAATAGAGGTAAATAATAATAATAATAATAATAATAATAATAGGATTATTGATGCTATTGATTTGTGTTGAAAATATGTTAGTAAAAACATTTATGACATGTGACAACTAAATGGTAATGAAAAAAACAGAAAAATAAAAAAAAGGGGGGACTTTGCATAGCCTTTAGTGATGTTCTTTATGGTAGGGGTAATCTGTTTTAAAACTTAAAGTTGTTTCCGTTCAAACCCAATTTTAAAATTTTATGGTTTAATTAAATAGTATTTTCCCTAACATAATACTATGATTTCGGTAATTTAAGTCATTCTAATTAAGTAGCTATTGTCTGTTGTATCGTTTTAACCATGGAAATTGAGTTGATCTTTTTTGTTTCCCTTTTATAGCACATAAATACTAATAATTGATGAATATCAAACAAACATTCAAATTTTTATGTCGAATCACACTCTTTAATTAAAATAACAAAACTTCTGTAACTAAACTTCCACCACGACAACTTGGTTTTTCAATTCCATGGTCAAATCCATTCCATTGTGCTTCCAAATACATCAGTACCTTATTCCCTTATTTGTCATGAACGTCATATAATTATTCTAATCAATGTCCACAAATTGCTATAGAAAGCACTCTTATATTTCCTCACACGGGCAAGTATGTATATTTAGAACTAAGCTGAATGCAACATACTAATTGCACCCTCTACTAATTGCAACACATCATAATTCTCAAATACATCCATAAGTTATCATCCACACCTCATCCAACTTCCCAAATGGACACATTCATCGCATAAAATAATGCGCATAATTAAGGAAAATCACAAAGGTCGTGTTCACACCGCCGCTTCGTATTGCTCGGTCGAACTGCGCCACTTGGTTTTTGCGTTGCGACGATGGATGTTGCCGATCGCAATAGCAGGGCTGGCTATGGCGGATTGGCCATAGCGAGCAACAGACCGCCATAGCCAGTAAAGCTCCCTTCAGCATGGACAGCACGTGTGCCGCACCGGCCCTTCCACACTCTGCGCTGAATAACGCCCTGACTCTGCCTTCGCTTTATTCCGATCCGTCGGTTTCAGCTGACGAGGAGGTCTATCATGAAGCCGGACATGGACTCCTGGCTTGCTTGTGGCAGGGCGCGCATACAAGTTCCGGTTTCCACAGCTTGGAGACTGCGTGGAATCATCGGCCACGGCATAGCATACAAGTGGATGCGGCGCTTTCCTCGTGGCGTGGTTTGGTCACCGCTGGTACTTCATCTGATTGCATGGACGCGTGCAAGCACATCATGGTCGCTTACTCTGGTTGATTTGTACGTGGAGGTTGGTCACATGTGAATTAATCAAGCAGCAGAGCGAGTCGTTAGTGTTTGTGCATTTTCTTTGTTGTTCCAATTTTGGCTCATACTCCTGAGTACATTTTGGTGAATGTCATACAAGAAGCTTACAAGTACACAGTCGGCTTCGTATGAATAGCCTTTCTTTCTCTGTTTGTAAGTGTAGGCTCAATATATGAGTGTTCAAATACTATACTTCCCCGTGATTCCTTTGGGATTTTCTTGTTGTCTTCAGGTTCTTTCGAAGTGACTCAGGATGCTAGCTTCTATGGCGTCCTCGTTGTGTGTGAGGTTTGATGCGCTCAACCAGCTTGCTTTACGCGGCAATAGCTACAGCTCTCTGGTACGTCGCCAATTGCTATTGAATTACACGAATTAACGGCTGTATTTAGTGCTTCGTGATATTTTAAATGTCATTGGTTCAGGTCATGAAACTGTATTCTATGAGATCTAATTTCCTATAATTGGAGTTAGTGAAGCGTGAATTTTAAATTTGGAATTCTTGGTCTACCTCGAACATAGCTGAACAACGTGTAGTATTAGTGCTCCCACATGGTCAAGACGTCGCACCTATTAGTTTGATCAATGACTCAACACTTTTGGTGATGTCAGGGTCACACGTATTTCCTAAGTTTGTATTTGTGCTTACGTAGATCAACATAACACCATACTATTGACCTCTGATTGCACACATTTTGTTATTGCATGATGCGGGATTTATTAAAACACGTGTATGGTATCATTTGTTAGATTTCACAAGAGGTTTCTAAATGCGGATCGCTGGAGCCTAGCACACTCAGCAAAGTTCATCTTACAAATCGTCATGAAGTGCCTGGGAGCAGACGGTTTGCTGTAAGTCATTCTTTAAACCTCTTGTATGTTGCAAAGCATTTCTGTGATATCTCGTGGCAATCTCCGGCACTAGACTGTACGATGCATGTGATTACATCGGTCTGCAAACACAGAAAATTAATCTTGTGTTTACATTGAACACTAGAAAAATAAGTATTGTGAATTTCGATTCATGATTATTTCACTTGAAGTGATCATGTCACTATACTACTACTCTCCTCCTATCTTGCTCATTCTGCGCTTTTTCACGGCTAAAACTGAGGTCCTTGGAGCACGATTGATAACTTTCTGCTGGATTCCACGGGACAGCCTTCAATCGATCTGCTGCAATAGCAAGAACTAATTTTATAATGGAGAAGCTAAATAAATTGTGAGTTTAATTTGTGTCCTAAATACTGCTCACGTAAATTTGAAGGTTGATGAATTTAACTAATATTGCGGAATCATCTATCAAATGCAGAGAACCATGGCCAGCAGTGTTCGTTCAGTTGTGGAAGTTGCAGACAAGGCAGTCGTTCCAGGTCTCCGTGAAACTGTATGGCATCAGCAAGATCAGAAAGTCACCTATCCAAAGCTGGAGAAGGATGCCAGTGCTGATGTGATCGTTGTTGGGACTGGCATTTCTGGTCTTAGCATTGCTTACAATTTGCTTAAGGCAGGCAAGAGCGTCATAGTAGTCGAATCCCGAGTAGTTGGTGCCGGCCAGACTGGCAGGTCGACGGCGCACATCATGCCGTGGTTCGATGACTATTATCATTTGGTGGAGAAAGTGCATGGCTTCGAGAATTCCAAAAAAGTGGCGGATAGTTACCAAAATGCCATTTCCTGGATTGAGCAGACTGTGAACGAGGAAAAAATTGACTGTGATTTTTCCCGTGTTGATGGATACCTTTTTCCACACGATGATTCTACAAGAGCTCACTCTAGACTCCAGAAGGTTTGTAGATTATTTCACGTCTTATGTCTCATTTCAGCAGTTAGAAAACGGTGTAAGAAACCGAGTTTGTTTATTTTTCTCATCTGGTTGGTCACTTCATTAATGGCCTGCAAGATATGATTTACAGGAATTTGAAGCTTGCCAAAAGCTTGGTCTCAATGTTGAGATGGTAGATCTAGGAAGTGATCCTTCCAGTGGAAGCATCAGTACTGCATTGAGATTTCCTAATGCTGGGCAATTTAATCCTATAAAGTAAGTTCTGTTTTAATAGCTCTATGTTTAGTTCTTCGTCGTACCTTTCCTGAGGTTCCCTACAAGACCGCATCTTCTGGAATTCGTGATGCTTGCCAACTAGCGCGTTAGTGAAGTGAGTTACAGTTGATTGATAATCGATATTGGGCGACCAGGTACTTGAATGGACTTGCTAAAGCCGTGGCCTCGAAAGGAGGAAGAATATATGAGACAACAAAGGTACGTAAGATTGATAACGACAATGTGACTACTACGGATGGTATAACAGTAAAAGGAGGGGCTGTGGTTATGGCCACATACACACCACTTCACAGAGATCAGCTCATTCACACGTTTCAACAACCGGAGTACTTCTACGCTATTGGCCTCAAGCTGCCCAAAGGATCTGTTAAGTAAGTGAAATTACATAGTTCATGATTTAGAGATTTGCAAATCATAGGAATGTCATGATATATGAAGAAATCGATCAAGTTGATAATACGTAAACTGTTGTGAACAGAAAATCGCAATGGTGGGATACAGCTACACCATATCACAATGTACGGATTGAGGAGAGGGAAGATTATGACATCTTAGTCGTTGGTGGAGAGGATCACAATTCAGGTATGAAATTGGAGGATTACCAGGATGCCCACAGCAACCTCGAGAAATGGGCGAAGAAGCGTTGGACATCTGCTGGTGAAGTGCTGTACAAATGGACCGGCCAGGCAAGCATCTCATATCTCAGAGTCGACATAAACTTGAACACTAAAAACGGCAAAGAGATTGATTATCTCAGAGGCTGTATCAAGAGAATCTATGAATAGGGAATAGTAACGAACTCACTAACGTGCACATGAATTGACGTCATTGAGTATGGTGTTAAATATGCAGGTTTACAAGCCTGTGGATTATGTACATTTGATCGGGCCTGATCCATTGGCCAACACAACTGGAGGTGTACTTGCTTACGACCAACTTGTCGCTACAGGTATATCGTGTTCTCATTTTTTTCTACTGATTATATTTGTTCATGGTTTACGTTGAAGTGAATTATTAGGAATATGCTTCATAAACATTAGGTATCCTAGTGTCATTTGCGATAATATTCCAATGTTGTCCCCTGAGGATTTCACAAGCTCGAGCGTTGCTTACAACACGTGCTGAAAAATGCAGGTGATAGTGGACAAGCGATGACGTCTGGGACTATAGCTGGACTTTTAATCACTGACTTGATAACTGGAAAGCCCAACCCATTCGCTGATCTCTATAGCCCAAAGAGAGGACCGAAACCTTCATCTGAAACCGCCTCTGGCACAGGAGTGCGAATTTGGAACACGATTGAGGTCCATCTTCTCACATCTCTCTCATTTAGATAAAAGTCAGAAATCTGAAACTCGTCACTCTTGATTAAAACAAATACTCCCCAGATCTGCAAGTAACTTCTAAGATAGGTTTGAAAATATTTGCAGAGCAAAACACAAAAAGGTTCCAACATAAGGATGGTCAATTTTCTTACACATAAAAACGACCAAAACTTCTGAAGAATTTGGAAATTTATCAACTCGAGCTCGTTCTTTGTGGTGCAGGGTATCACAGACCTGTTGCCAATTGCAGGTGCAGATAATGTGGAGATCAGAGATCTTGCACCTTGTGCTGGATGTGTCATTCAGGATGGCAAGAGCAAAGTGGCTGTTTACAAAGATGAGGATGGTGTGCACAAGTACTCAGCCGTTTGCCCACATTTGGGATGTGTTGTGAAATGGAACCCAATTGACGGTGCCTTCAACTGCCCCTGCCACGGCTCTATCTTTGATCACCACGGAACCGTAATAAATGGCCCGGCAAATGTTGACCTTCAACCCATAGATTGAGTGGATTCACAGTGTACATTATTGAGGTACACATGCCTTGTCTCACCTACACATTTCAGATCTAAAAGTGAGTTCATTCCCACAGATGGTAATTTACCGCTATCTTTAACTGGTAGTCGCACAGCCATCCAACTCATCTGTAAAGAGAGTAAATGGTGAGATTCAGGAGTACTGCCGTTGTATAATTTTGTTACAGCAGCATAATCTGTGAGGATGCAATTTGTGGAATTTGCAACTTCTTGAATCTCACCATTTACTCTCTTTACAGATGTAAAGAAATTTAAACCGTTTACTCATCTTGTTGAAGTTTCTTTTGCGGACTTTAATATTCTGTACCAGTAAGTAATATTTCTTTGCATGTAGCTGCCATGCCCGTCTGCCTAATTTTCCAATGTAGTTTCTCCTTCAGTGACTATAATGTCTAAAGGTATCAGTTCCACTGATTTTATTTCCCAAAATGTGATTTGAGGTAAATTGATTTAAATGTCCTAGAATCTTGATTAAAGTGCCTCAAGTTACCTATTGAGCAACAAATTGTTTTTGATTCTCATTCCACCCAACAAGAATACAGTCCAATCAAATGGTGGCGAAGATCACTGAATAATTGCTATTGGAAATATCTCAATGGTTATAAATTTAGAAAAAACGTGACAATAATATGGGAAGGTGTGTCTATTTTTCTTGATCTTGTGAATTACTTACTATTTGTTAGTTATATTGCTGAAAACAATCTTAGCTTAAATGCATAATTAGAAATTGGCTTGTTGTAGGATAAAATGGCAGTATAATAGTTTGTTTAGTACAAGAAAAGCTTAATAGTTAGCATTGATTAGAACAAAAAATCTTCTTTTTAATTTTGATTTCTTTTTAAAGATTTGTACTTTCATTCTTAAAATGTATATTGTATTGAGGTACAATCTTGTCTTATTAATTTGTGAGGTATATAAAGAATGCTACAGCAAAATGTAATGACACAACTTACATTTTTTAGAATTGTTTCAAAAAAATTTAATTAAAAAAAAATAACAAAAAATATTTTGGAGTAAAATAAAGAAGAAGATAAATACGAAAATAAGCAAATTACTTACCTGGTTATATATAAAGACAATTCATACTTAGAATCTTGGGTGGTACTTGTTCTTATATAATATAAATTGATTATTTTATGTTATAATAATATAATTCTATTTTAAGGCCTACAAAAATTTCATCTAAATTCTAAAATTTGAAAATTACAAGAAAAAAATATATAAGAGAAAGAAAATCAAAAGTTGTAATACAATAACATTAGCATAAATATAATTCAATAGTATTTAGTATCATTTTGTAAAGAAGAAAGCAACTTTCATGATTATAAATATTTATATTTTATTAGTGAATATAATTAAGTATGACTAATTAAAAACATAACAAGTAAATAACATCTTCTATATGAATTATTAAGGAAGTTTCTTAAATGTAGGTTGGATCTTCGAATGGTCTCAGATGTGTCATGCATTTATGTAGACTTCTTCTAAAATTTACTCAAGTCTAAGACACTATTATAGAAGTTTACCATACCTTAGGTTCTTTGCTTGTAAACCTTGTGGTCCTTATAGTGCTTCTACATGGCAATCAGATTAATTATTATACATGGAACCAATTTCAACATCTTCTATTATTTTAAAATATAATTTCTCTGAATTGCTTTTCTTTACTAATACGATTTTACACAGTCTGTACATTTTTTTTTTAATCAACTATTACATTATAGTTTTTCAAACTCACAAAAGTGGTAAATAAAATTGATAAAATGATTAGTTTTAAGATGTTGTAAGATATTTGTTAATTTTTGAATAAATCTAGCATTATCAACCTTACTAATATATATATATATATATATATATCACTTGTACTTTGTTAAAATTGACATAGATCAAATTTTAAATAAAATAACTTACTATTATACAATTATGAATATTTATGTTCCATTTATTCTTCAGATTTTTATATTTCTTGTTTATTTAAAAAGTAAAATAAAATAAAATAATCACATAAAGGTAGTTTTTATGCAAAACAAAGTTTCAAATGATGTAAAGAACACAAATATATAGTGGTTTAATTTTAATTTTTTTTAATAGATTTCAAAAAATTATTGGTAGTATTTCATTAAATATCATTTTTTTTATTACCTAATTAAAGCCATGAATTGAGCCTAATATCTTGACTTCCTATATCTCATAAGCAAATAAATGTATTCAACTTATAGTTTGTCATATCATATATTATGGTCTATGCCATAGCCACTATCTAACATATATCTTTATATTAATATAGGTCTATATTTTTTATTCACTTAAATAAAATTATTTTTTCTTGTTTGTATATATATATATATATATATTTATATATTTATATATTTAATTTATTTATACAAAAAAAATATATGCATCATATTTTATAAGTGATATAATTAGATGTATTTAATAAAATTTTTATTCTTAAATCATCTTTAAAATTAGTCAATTATATTAAATAATCTTTATTCTAAATTTCGACTTTTAAATATTAAATTCTATACAAAATTTATACCTTTGAACATTACCAATAATTACATTTAATATAAAAATTTGTTTAAACCAAAGAATAAAATTGATTCTAAAACTACATGCACACAACCTAATACACTTGGTCCTTCTATCAATGACATGAATTGGAAGAAGATGCATAAACTTGGAAAATCTATGTTAAAAGAAAAGTAAAAAAATAGCAATAAAGTAGTATGTATGTTAAAAAGAAACTAGAATGACTATTGCCAAAAGACAAGGAAACTAGAGAGTCTTAAATCTACACTAAAAGCAAGAAAGAAATTGATAATAGTGAAGAGGGCTTCACTCTTGCCTCTATATATACTATTTAACTAGAAGCCATGTGGCAATGTTCTATGGGACCTCTAATATGTATTGACTTTGCAAGATACATGCCTCAGCTTACAAGGCAAGTTTTCTACATGTGGGCCACATAACTAGCTTGATCTTCAAGCTACCAACATGTGTGGCACATGGTCAAGTTGTTGACCATGTTTCTAACTTAAAAAGTTAATTAAAGATACCTATAAAGTCAAAGTAGTATCTAGGAAGCTTCTAGGAAGTTTTAATAGAAGATATTATGAAGTTAACCTACTTTTATCTACTTTTATGTAAATCATATAGATAATTGTATGTCCATTACACCTTCTAAGTAAAGTAACAATATTAATTGATATAGTTTACATTGTAATATATAGAGATTTTTAATTATTTAAGAATTTTTTTAACAAACATGTTATTTTGGTATCTTGCAATTACAAGGTTATACAAATCAATAGAAAATTTTATGTTTAGAAGTAGAAGAAATGTTAACTTATTATTGAAAAATAAGAAATTTTAGAAATATTTTTTAATCTAATTTGTAACTAATCTTATTATAATGATTGGATATTTTATAATATTATATATAGATATTATATATAATTTTAATTAAAGTATAAATAAAAATAAAAAATTACTTACAAAAATTATATATATATATATATATATATATATATATTTGATATCTTAATAATATGGTGTGGCTTAGGACATTGCCATCATCATCGCCAATAGCAGCACCAATAGCCACTTTGGTTCTTGGGCATTAGAACAAATTCCATTGCAACTTTGACAAGTCCGATTCTAGAAAAATAGAACATTTTTCTAGTTGCCTATTGTAGAAATTGCTTCCTTTTAATGTAGTTGAGGCTTGGAGTGAGGTCCTAAGGGAGCCAATAATAAGCGAGCATGCGGCATTGGATAGGGCTTCTATGGACGAGCTTGCTCTATAGTTGTTTCTTCGAAAGTAAGAAAGAACACATGGGGGATGTAGAGTGGGATCCTAGAAGAGCCACTAAAGAACAAATAGATGATGTTGAGCATAGTTTTTGCAGCCACTATGTCTTGTAAGTAAGGACTGCCCTGGCTAGTGTGCCATGAGTCCACGGCATCTACATATCGGCCATTCCTATTAGCACCAACAAGTAGTGATGCTCTTAAATGAAATACAATACTTATGCCTTATTTTATTTATTTAAATTTATTTAATTTTTTGTTGAGATGCAAAAAGAATCATAGTCACTAAAATTTTAGAGCAATGAAATTATTTGTGTCCAAATCAACTAATATGTATTAAATATCCAACTTCTTACAAATCATTAAAATTTTAAGAATACACACTATAAAGTTTTTTTTTCATATATATATATATATATATATAGTTAAATCACAATAAATATACTTATACAGCACAAAGCGAAGGCAATCGAAGATATGAGGACAAGCGTTGGCAGTACAAGGGAAGAAAAAATTGTTTGTAGCAGGATTAACTTCATCGAGCAACAATCCGGAAGCAACTAAACAAAAGAAGCGCAAATGACGTAGAAGATATTCAAAGCTGAAGGGGGGGGATTGAAATCGGCTATAGCAATCAGTAAAGCAGTGTGAGACTCATAAGAAAAAACAGAAATAAATAAAATAAAATAAGCGAGGATAACCATCGCAGCAGCAAAGGCAACAAGGGGAAAAGTAGAGGGAGAAATAGATTATCAAAGAGGAGGTATTATCTAAATCACACAATTGGGTTGTGCAAAACTGGAAGTGAAGGCAGCAAAACGAGATCAGAGCAATGAAGGAAACAAAGTGTTTGTCAAAGATATTAGCATAGCATTTGTGAAGGGCAAAACAAACGCGGAGCAAGAATTGTCAAAATCACTACAACTAATAAATAAATAAACATAATCTTTCACAATGTAAGAAAGTATTTGGTTTTTTCACAATGTAAAGATGTATGGAGCCGATAGGAGAGCTCTGCTTCGGTTGGTTTGTTGTTGATGAGCTTAATTCCTCGCAGGTCTTTGTTCTGTCTTTGCACCTGAAGATCCCGACCCAATCAACTGGATCACTGCTCACAAACACAGCCACGATCTGCCTCTCATTTCATTTGCAGTCATGTATCAAAATAATTTCTTGAGTTTTTGTTGACATTTACAGAATACTACTATTTGTCAAAATGAACATGATTCATAATATAATAATCTTAGAACAAAATGGATGTCAATTAGATTTTAGCCACTGCTATTCTTAACAATTCTGGTTCGTAAATAAATTTTACATTTTTTTTGTTCTCTTCAATGTCTCAAACAATATAAGATTGTCATTCATATCATGTACTATTCAGTTGTACAATTTTTCATATATATATATTTTTTTCACATATGTTACTCCACAGTTTGCTGAAAATTTATGGCAATCACAATATCAAGTTTGTAATCATTTTTTTAGCACAATAAGTAGAAAGGTATATAAAAATTATTGATTGTGTGAATATATTTTTGAACCATGTTGAATTAAAGTTATTATTTTTTTCTTTTTTTCTTTTTCATTGTATTTCCAATATAAGATTAGCTTAATTGTTAGTATTATATGCTATAATTTACAGATGTGTTATAAGAAATAAAGTGTAATTTAAATAAATTTTCTAAAGTGAATTGATGCTGATTTGTTTTTGTTAATTTTTAATTTCAAAATAAATTATTTTAATTTAAGGAAAAAATCAACTAAAATTTTTCAACTGTATTCTGTAATAATATCAAATGATACAATATTAGAAATAAAGTCAAAATCAATGCACTTTTTTTAATTAGATATGTACATATAAACATATATGATAATTTATTCAATTTCCAGCCACATTATATATTTTTATAAATCCCTTTAACTCATATTTTGAATTATTATAAAATCGCCATTTTAAATTTGTAAGTGTGTTTGAATGGTGAATGATAGAAATATGTCCCTTCAATGGCATCCTTACAAGCATCCATTGAATGGGGAAAAGAAGGCAACAAAGACCATGAGCTTCTTTTGTTGTTGATAAAAAATAAAAAAAATAAAAAAATAAAAAATGATCAATTTCTTTGTATGACTAAAATGAGGTTAACAGTGCCAAAGCTAAATTTGAAGAACTCTTGGAACTTCAAAGGAAAGAATATGGAGGAAGTAGTGTTATTATTGCTGAGGTAAGCATTTCTTTTCTACTTTTTCAAACCATGATTTCTTTTGTATTTTAATATGAGGCATTTCAATATCATGTTTCTCTACTATCAACACTAATACAAAAATAATTTAAATTTTATTGTTACAAATTTACTCTTCCAGTGCTATATTTTGCCTTAGTTTTTTTCTTAGACAAAAACTGATTTTTTATTATCAACTATTATATATATATACTAAAATATGTGTTTCTAACTACATACTTAACATTGAATTTTATTTTGAACCATAAAGGTTTGATTCCTCTATTAGATTGTTTGTTGCAGACTTTGAAGTACTTGGGTGATGTATATGTGGCATTGAAAGATAAGACACCAGCAGCAAAGCATTACAGCCATGCATTGCATATCTTGAGGAAACCACTGGGACCAATTGACAAAACTGTAAAACAGTTTGAACAATACATCAAACAGCTCAATCTCCAAGATGAAAAGTATTAAAAAACTGCAAAACCATGGATTAGTTTTGAAAAGATTTAAGTTCTTTTTATTTAATCCTTTTCTTCAAAATATTGATTTTTCCCGTTAATAATAAGTTGTATTTAGTCATTATAAAATCAAGTGTTTATATATTATTATTATTATTATTATTATTAACTGTATTCAATTGAAAGCAATCAAGTATGTCTATGGAATATAATGCTGTTAGCACATTGTAACATGTGGGTTTTTTTCTTTTTTGTTAATATTAATAAATTTCTATCATTTATTGTGCTTTTATAGATAGAGGTGTGTTTATGAATGAATTAGCATAATTTTACACTTATGGTTTCTACAAAATTGGATGTTGCACATGAGCTGGTGATTTGTTGACGTGTTCCAAATTTGATGCCTGAGGCAAATATCTTTATTAAACATATTTTAGACAATTCAATTGCTTAGAAACATTTTTTTAATCCATAACTCAATAATCCTGGTTTAGTTATGAAAAAAACCAAAAACAAAACAAACCAAAGCAAAACAAAATAGATAAACCTGGTTTTTATATGTTAGTGTATATGTAATTAATTTTTCAGTCTGAGGAAATGACGCAACTGTAACTTAAGATTGTGTGTATTTTTCTGTTTTTCATCCACAACCCTGTTCATGTTAAGTTAGTGTATTTTGTAAATGTAAAATGGTTTTTAACGAACGACTCAGAGTAAAGTCACTTGCTACATAAATTAGAAAATAAAATCTATAGTTTTCGAGTAAATTTGAAATTTTGATTTATTAAAGTAATAAAAAATTCATAAAAGAAGGTAAAATAGGTAAATTGATGTATATATTTTTTAAAATTATAATAAGAATCTTTTTCATCAACAACACTATGTTGAGTAAATTATTTGGGCTTTGATTTTTGACATATTGAAGCCTCAAGTATAAAAATAGGTACTAAATGCCACATTAATTTTCCTATGAGAAAAACTTCAGTATGCTTCAATGAATCTGTAAGACTTTGGTGCATTTTTAAAAAATCTGATAAAGATTACCATTAATAAAAATCTGAATTCGTATTTGTATTTGTATATATTTTTTTCATTGATTCACAATCTTTTAAGAATTGTGATCTTCACTTGCATGACTTCTTGATACTATATTGTACTTGAGAGTTTGTACCTTTACGGATTGACCCATTTGTAAGTGAACGTAGTACTAATCTTTGTAGATTTGCATGGCATAAGACACGGTTTCCACTGTAATATATATATATATATATATATATACATGATTTGAATACACTTACGATAGTATTTTTGCACAAGAGCTACGAAACGGGGCACAAATATAAGTCACGGACAACCCCACCACCGTAACCATACGCCCAAGATAAATACACACATACGCCACGTATAAGAATACGAAAATACATACATACACCCACAAGTGTATAATACTCACGGATACTCTGTATTGTACCCAGTCACCCCACAGGAAATGTATGCTTTTGCGAGGCCTTTTTGTCCGAAAGAAGAGGTAGAAGAAGAAATCGAGTGAGAGAGAGAGAGAGCATCTATTGCCATAGCACACGATCCTTTGCAACTCTTCTTTCACGTTCATACTGCCGCGTGCGTCTTATTTCCATGGCCCCATAGTCTGTTTTCATGGCATAGAATCTCCTGTCACTTGCTTTTCTATAAAAAAAATTCTCCTTCGTCTATATGTTGAGTTGATTGAGTGTGCTCTGAGTCGTTTTGGTGTTTCGTTTCGGTTGTGCTTCAATTGGATTGGAAGTATTGAAGAAGAGTTCGATACGCAAGCTTGTAAATTTTCCTCACACTAGAGCGGATAGTGCAGGTTGTAAGGAACAGCGTGTATCGAGATTGAGAGGGACATGGTTTATTTTATTTATTTATTTATATTTATTTTTTAGTTTTGTGTGGAGGTTGTAGGGTTCTTTGGGAGTGTAATAGTGTACGAGTGTTCGGTAATTTGAGTGGGGTTTTAGGGTGTTGAATTTGGAAGTGATTGTGTGAGGTCAATTTGGTTTATGACTGGATTGCTGTTAGGTTATTATCGTTTAATTTGAGGATTGTTGGGTTGAGTTGAGTTTCTTGTTTGTGCTTTTTTACTTTTTTGATTTTTGATTTTTGGTTTAAGACACGTTTGGCTGAGGATATTTTTTGGATTACAGAGTTTCCTATTTCCGGTTTCGTGCGGGTTACAGACAATGTTTTTGGATTGATTGCACTACGCTGGAATTCGTCGACCTCATTTTCTGTAGTTTCATGTGTATGTGCAGGTCCCCGGACTTTGAGGGACTGCGTAGGGGTTGAGTAGTTGGTGGTAGCGATCACAACTTCGACTTTTTCTTGAGCGAAGAAAAACGGGAACACAATGTCTTGGTGTACAATTGAGTCGGATCCAGGTGAATCTTCTTACAGTACTGGGTTAAACATAAGGGTTTATCAGTGACAACAAGAGTTTCGTGAACCCTGGTATAGAGGATTAGGGTTTGGCGTAGCGAATTGTGCCATCGATATTGGTTGTGGAAGAACTATTGGGGTCATAGGAAGTTCTAATGAAGCAGTATGGACGCGTTTTGTCTTTCCCTTTCTTACTATGAAATAATTATTAAGTAAGATTTTGAGCATGAAGAGTTTGTGCTGGGTTAAAAGGTCTCGCTCACAATCTCTTGAGATTCAATTGTGTGCAGGGGTATTCACGGAATTGATTCAACAAATGCAAGTGAAAGGGGTTCAGGTATCTTCGATAATTTCGCTTGGCATGCTCGATTGCCTTTATTGTTCTGTTTTGTTTTGTTTTGGTGGTTAGTTTTCATGACAATGTGCTTCGGGCATGCGAAGTAGCTGACCCATGAAAGGGTTTTTGTTTGAGAAACAGATGATTTGCCCATCGTGCGTTGTGATTATTGATTTATGACTCGAATCATGTTCAGGTGGAAGAGCTTTATAGTTTGGAACTCGAATCCCTTTCACAGCTCAGGTAATCTATTTCATTATTTCTGTCGTGCTTCTCTTAAGTTGTATTCTTTCATTATTGTTTGGCAAAATGCAGCTGTTGTTCGTGTGTAATAAGGGTGAAAGTTTCTGTTTAGCATCATTCTGTTTATGTTAGGTATATTGATGATTCCCTGGAGCTAGATGCATGTGATTATATACTTGGGTTTATTTATTTGTGAAAGCCGTAACGTTGCTCAGGATTGTGGTTTGCAAATTCTTACTGTCTGTGGTACATTATTATGAAAAACGTTTGCAGTGTGCATAAAGAGTGAGTTTTGACATGATTCCGCATCCAGTCTCACACCAGTTTTTATTATGGTTGATAGGCCAGTGTACGGTCTTGTTTTTTTGTTCAAATGGCGAGCTGGGGAAAAGGATGGCCGGCCTGTATTGAAGGACTATAACCCAAATCTCTTCTTCGCCAGCCAGGTATACAATTCAGTCGAGTAAATATGTGTGGCTTGCATTTATTTCATTTTACCAGTATTGCCATCTAATTATGTTTGATGGGCTTGCTTCGTGCCTATGTCTAGGTCTGTTGTAAGAAGAATGTCCTGTCAGTGTAATAGCTCTGTCGATTTGAAGCAGTTCGCTGATGAGTTCCATATTGAAATCTTACTTGGTCATTTGGCTTAAAGTTAAGTCGCGCACTTGAACCTACTGTTTTTGATTCTTTACATCGATACAATGAGAGCATTGTAACTCATATATGTCAATGCTACTTATGAAGCATTTCGAAGGCTTTTTCTTACTAATTGCTGAATAACGAATTAGTGAACTTTTTGGGAACCAGTTATATTTTAATGGATTTTCTTTTCGTGTTTTATAGGTTATCAACAATGCATGCGCAACACAGGCTATACTCTCAATCCTCATGAACAGGCCGGAGATAGAGGTTGGACCAGAACTCTCAACATTGAAGGAATTCACGCGGGGTTTCCCCCCTGAGTTGAAGGGGCTGGCCATCAACAACAGTGAAGCTATTCGCACGGCTCACAACAGTTTCGCCAGACCTGAACCATTTGTGGCAGAGGAACAGAAAGTTGCAGACAAAGATGATGACGTGTACCACTTCATCAGCTATTTGCCTGTTGATGGTGTTCTATATGAGCTCGATGGACTAAAGGAGGGCCCCATCAGTTTAGGCGAATGCGGCGGTGAAGGCCCCGATTCTATGGACTGGCTGCAGATGGTGCAACCCGTTATTCAAGAGAGAATTGAGAAGTATTCCAAGAGTGAGATCAGGTTCAACCTCATGGCTGTTATAAAGAATAGAAAGGATATATATAATGAAGAGATGACACAGCTTGAAATGAGGCGAGCTCGGTTGTGGGATCGCATAGAGAAGCTGGAAGGAAAGCGGGACGATACAATGGACGTGGACTCGGGAGACGAGGAGGTTGGTCCAGTGTCCATTGATAAGCTACGTAATGAGTTTGCTGATGTGGAGTCAGAGCTTGCTAAAGTGCAAGATAAGATAGCCATGGAGGATGAGAAGTTTCGCAAGTGGAAGACTGAGAACATTCGCAGGAAGCATAACTATATCCCTTTCCTGTTCAATTTTCTCAAGATTTTGGCAGAGAAGAAGCAGCTGAGACCTTTGATTGAGAAGGCTCGTCAGAAAACTTGAGAGTCGTAATGCTTACATGAGCTGTAGATCTTTGGAAGATTTTTACACTCTCGTTTTTCAAGGTGTTATATTTCTTCTGTTTATTGTTCAGTTTCGGCAAATAATTTGTTTTGATTTTTGACGAGTGATCATAGCTACCTGAATGCTTCTTTTGGAACATGAGTCCTCATGACAACGGGTTTTAGTGATCAGATAACGCTGTTTCAGATATGCTCTCTAAATGGTCCTAGTTTTAGCTTGTTTATTGTAAGTGATTCAAAACAAGTTCATTGGATGGATGTCTTTCCTTTCAGTTTCGGTTTTTAGACGGGGAGGTTTAAAACTGGCCACTTTCGTTGGAAGTTGATGTCTTGATTGCATGCAAATCTGTGGGCTTTCAAAACATGTGACAAGTTTAATGGGCGGTGGTATGCGATTTCTACAACTTTGTCTAGATATAATATCAATTCTAGCAAGCAGAGACATGGTTGGAAAAAAACCTGAAAGTATCATACTTTTGAGATAAACACATGCCTTGTTACGAGCTCTTGAAATCAGTTTTTGGTCATTAAACCCCTGGATTAGAACTTTGCTACAATGACGAAGTTTTAAGGCGTTTCAACATTTGACACAACATTTGACATCAAATCAAGATAGAAACAACCACAAACTTCAAAGAAATGGTCTGCAGTCATTGGGGACTACGAAGATATCCAAGACCTGATTCACGTTTTCTTGTGTAATGTTGCATGGCATTTGATTCTTGCACGAAAGATTTTTAACTACCGAGACGAAAACATGCTTTGATACCGCTCGAGTAAAAACAGATGTTTAATTTTGTATTAGTAGAAGCACAAACTCAATCATGAATAAAACTAAGTTATCTTTCCGAATTAGTTGCGACAGAATGAGCACCCCTAAAACTTACATTTTCTAATTGTCAATCAACCACCAACTAATCACAGATTCTCCGTTTGGTACAATGAAACCTTAATGTCGTATCAAGGTACATTGAAAAATGTATATATATTTTTTACATATGCGTGTGTGTGGGTGTAAAGCAATTTGAACGAATAAGAAAGTACAAAGATACACATACATTTTTTGTGTGGAAAGGAGTTATTATATGATGCAAACAGTTGTCTCTGTTTCTGATGTCTGATAAAAGCACAATAATAATTAATGTGATTCAATATCCAAAATGCACTGACTCGCTGCAGATGGAGCATGGCTGTCTGCTGTTTCACCAAGTTTGTGTGAGACCTCCGGTGCAAGGCTGGTGGAAATAACACAAACACTTAAATTCAACACGGTGGGATGCACAGCCGATCGTCGAGCCATTTGTCGCAGAGAGTTGCCAGACTGTAGTTCCTGTATCAATCTAGTTTCACAGACAATGATTTGTTGAGGACCTTCCAGTTGTATCACCCAGCCCGATCAAATCGAAATCCGTGAGTCCACCCATCCAAGAGCAGCTAGCTCCTGTCCAAATGCAACTCTCTCTTGAATCCATCAGTAAGCAATCACGATGGGAAGGGTAATCTCGATTCAACTCTTCAAGTTTGAAGCAAGCTTTTGATAGATCGGAAGGCTTCCATGATGTGAAAACAGATGAAACGCCTCGATGTTGGGCTACAAAATCGCAGGAGCGTTGAATTCGTAGCACGTCCAGGAGCAAACGCCGCCATGGTCCGACGAAAGTCGAACACGCTGCCGTAGGGTTTCCGGACTCTTCTGTAACAGATTCACGAATAAAAGATAGGTGCAGCTTTAGAGCTAACCAGAGTACTGCACTTCGCACGGTTGCGACAGTTGCGACATCTGCTCGAAAACGTGAATCGGGCGACGAGAATGTGGAACGACTGGCGCGGAGCTAATCTTAGGGTTTTGAGAACGTTTGTCGAAGAGTTTCGAGAAAGTATCTAGTGTGTGTAAAAGTATATCTGCATTGATAATGGGTTCGTGTGGAAAGTTAAGGAAAAGCTAAGGAAAACAAAGTTACTTGGAAAAGTAAGAAGTTTAGAGCATGTGCTTTAGTGCTTTAGAAATGCTTCTATTGGGTTTCAATCATTAAACATCATTTTTCTTTTTTGTGTGAATCTTTCATATATATATATATATATATATATATATGATAATAAATTAATTTTGATTTTATTTAGCACTAATCAAAATTATTTATTAAAATAAATATTTAATAAAAAAGATATTATATAATAAATTAAACAAAAATAAAAAAATGTAAAACTTTGCATTAAAGAATTATTGTAACAAACATACATATTTATTCCAATAACATAACTAAGTAGAAGTAGGTAAAAGTAGATTAATTTAATAATATCTTATAAAAAAGCTTTCTAAAAGCTTCATAGACGTAGTTTCACCTTTACATGTGTCTATAGATGATTAACAAGTTGAACACTTGGCTAATAAGTTAGTCATGTGTTGCACATGTTCATAGCTTGTATTACAAGTTAACCATGTAATGCACATGTAAGAAACTTGCCTTGTAAGTTAAGATACATATCTTGTAAATTGGACATATGTCGGAGGTCCTATAGAATGTCGCCACATAGCTCCTAGTTAGATAGTATATATGGAGGCAAGAATAAAGCCTTCTTCCCTCTTATCAATGTCTTTTTAGTCTAGTCTTATTTCAAGATTTTATTTATTTATTTATTTATTTATTTATTTATTTATTTTGCAATAGCTATTTTAGTTTCAATATTATATAAATTTTGAGTGAATATCTATTCTTTTCGAGTGATGCAAGAAAATATTGAATTTTACTTTATTTGAAATTTATGTCCTTGACATTTTGACAAGAATGATAATTCATTATTCTTATTTTGTCTTTAGAAATGAGTAGATTATTCCACTTCTATTGTTGTGTTTTGAAGGTTGTGAACTACTTATCTTTAAATAATAGTTTAATTTTCTAATAGTGATTTTTTTCTTAAAGATAATAGACTATCTATTTTTATAAAAAAATCATTTGCTATTAGAAGTTATAAATTATTCTCCTCTAGTTTGACTTGTGAATAGATTGGAGTCATCTATAGAAAGAAAAATTATGGATGTTTCTCTTGGTGGAAGTAATAATAGATTTGTAATTGCTCAAGATCTTCATAAGCTTGTCAACATTTTTAAGATCAAAGTTTCATGTATTTTTACTATAAACCATAATAGTACTATTTGTATGCTTATGGAAGAAGTCAACAATCAGGTTCAAATTCTATACCAAGAAGTTGTATAATTGAGAGAAGCAAATAAATCAAGTTTACAATTGAATTAAAAAATCTTGCTATTACAAATTTGAAGGATGCAAGGATAAATATGCCAAAGACGTTTGACAAAACAAGATCAAAGTTTTGAAGGTTTCTACAACAAGTGAAGTTCTATCTAAAGTTGAATCATTTCCAATATCCTAACGGATTTACTCAAGCTAGATTCATAGGTGCACTTTTATTTGAAAGTACTCTCTCTTAGTTTGAATCTTTGATAGAAAATGATTCATGAATATTTTATATTTTAAATTAATTTTTAGAAATATTTATAGCTATAATAAGAAAAATTAATTTAAAAAATTAATAAAAAAAACTTCTATTTTTATAATAAAAATCATATTATTATATTATAATTATTTATAGTATATAAAATTAATTATAATATATAATATGTTTATAAGTCTTGATGTATATTATAATGTTTAGTAGCTTAATTTAAAGAGAGTTAATGCAAGAAAATTTATTTTAAGATTTATCTATTTTAATCATAGTATTTAAATTATATAGAATTTAAATATTTAGATAAAGTTTTAAGAAAAGATTTGAGCTCAAAGATGAAGATCCAAATTACTAAGAAGCTTATTGGGAGGAATGAAAGCAAGGTATAGACAAATGAAGGAAAGGGGTGAAGGCCTTTATTTCTATTGGTCAAAGGTCATAATCAATATGATTTCAACAGACTATCCGCGACCATAACAAGGATTATGGCTACTTCAAAGGAACATTTGAGAACAACAACAAAGATTGTAAGGTTTAGGATTTGGATTGCAATTTGTGTATAAAATTTAAAGGGTTTGGAGTTAGGATGAAGAAGTTATAGTCATTTGAAGTAGATAGATCTTTTAAGACATATTGTTGCTCTTTTGAGGATATGAGGATTTGAAGATTTATAATGAATTTGCAGTTGAAATTTATTTTGATAGTTCTTTAAAGTGCATCAACACTTTATATAAAAAAATTGAGTCTATTTGGATGGTCCAATTGTGACATATGAATTGTTGAAGTTTAGAGAGAAATTTCCTTAAGAATATATAAGATTTTAAAATATTTTTATCATATTTTGGATGATCTTTGGCACTTAAGGCTCATGTATTGATGTAATTGCTTTTATAGGGATAATTTTATATATAAATTTGGTGCTTTCTTATATTGAGACTTGATTGAGTAATTAGTGACAACTAAAAGCTAAGCGCTTTTTTGAAGCAAATTCTTTCTACTTCAACAATGTTTAGCTATCATATATGTTGTAGAATTTCAAAACTTTCTTTGCAACATTGATTAAAATGATAAAGCTCTTATCAATTAATTTTTAAATAAATTGAAAGATAATACCAAAGATTTATTGTTGACAATATCAAGAGCATATTTATTAGAGTAATTTATTGCTCAAGTCATTTTATGCACTAATTAATTTTTTCAAAGATGCCAAGAATAAAGGTTGTTTGAAGAGGTAAAAATCAAGTCATGGCAATACTTTCTAAGTTTTCAAAAGCTTATTTATGAAGGCCAGTACCTATGCAAATTATCACAATACATTTCAAATCTCTTATTTAAGAAAAAAAGATTTAATGTTGTCAAAAAAGATTGTACATATATTATAGAAAATCTAACGACACTACTCAACATTGTCTAAAGAAGCAACATAATCACAAGATGAGAAGTATGATTGCCAAAGAAGATAATGTATTGAAAAACAAGTTTTTTTTAATTATAATAAGGAGCAAGCAGCTAGAATCTTATATAACACCTAGTAAAGATTTTATTTTTTCTTTATATTTCTTAGTTTGTTTTACAATAGATGTTTATTTAGGACCAAAAAATCAAAAAAAAATTATCTTATTAAATTCAAAAGCCTCAGCTTGTTTTATAAACAAAGCCTCTCTTTAAAAATAAGAAATATTCTTAATCAAGAAAATTAAACATATGC